GAACGCCATCAATTTCTGGGTTATTCGACTTGTCCATTTAAAAAAATTACATTGAATTACCTTTCCAATGTTACCTAAATACTATATATCCAGTTGCATTTCGGAATTCGACAGCCGTGTAGAGATCGCAAAAAAGTTTGCAAGGAGGAACATTTAATAAACTCGTTCTTTTATTATTTCTTGCCAAATTGATCCATGCTATTTCAATGTGAAAATATTATAAACTGTTTCTAATTAGGATGGGGAGCACATCGAAGTTGGATTTTCCCTCACCAAGAGTTTTTTTAAAAGACGATCTGAATTTCTTTAATAATATATTAAAACGACGAAATAATAATCATATGATGAGAAAGCATGTTAGAACTTTTTTCATGCCCAGTTTTTAAAACGGCTAAAAACGTCATGCCAATGAAGCTTGTAGACATGAACTTAGATTTCACTATGCAACTGGAAAAGCTAGAAAAAGTCGACTTCGACATAATTTTACAGTGTTATCTCTGTTACTTATGAAAATAATAATGGAATACACTTGTCAGGTACACTACGTAGAGTTCACCGTGATGACCCTAATTTCCATAAAATCTTCTCAGTTCACAGTTTTCTTGCTAGATAATCACTACCGAAACCCACGCTTTTTTCCACGAACCGAGGCATATGCAGTACATCTCGCCCAATGAATATAAAAGCACAAAGGAACTAATGATCGCAGCGAATTTCCTTTATTAGACATTAAGATCCCAGGAATCCGCCCTTTTAGATAAAGTCAGTCTTCAAGCGTTTTACAATTTGAATGATCCCCTCGAGTCAAACGTCGAGGACGGGGTGTGGTCGCGATTCAACCTGACCTCGCAAATAAAACAAAATGTGGCACTTTTATGACACTCCATTAAATCGCATGAGTTTTGATCCTCCAAATCATTCATTCATCATCTCATCGCCGAAATCAACGCAAAGGAAACGATAAAACCACAGATCAAGCCGATTGACCTGAAACAAATGTAGCCCCAGCAAACAAAGAATAATAAGCTGATAAATATAGTTGTCCTTCGTTGGTGAAGCCGATGAGGCGAGAAAACTAGAGTACTGTCGAGCTTGGTATTATTCAGCATGTTTTATTTAAAAAAAAGATAATTGCATAAAAATGCCGATAAATTACGCACAGTCAACGCTCGACGCATGCGCTTATTTTCAAGGTTTTCCGCTGATGAAATCCTTGATCAAACACTGCCATTACAGGTTGTTTGCAAAATCTTTCCGAACACTTCGTTATAAATTCAAGCGCTGTATATAGATACGTTTATTGGTCCTCCTGGAGTGTTGAACGCAACTACAGTACATTACAGTATTTAAGAAGACAGGCACCGACATCTACTTGACTAGAAAATAACGACGACTCTAAGATTCAGAATTTTAGTTGTAGGTTCTGCGCACTTACTTGGGAAAATGAGATCGTGTCGTGTCAAAAGAAGCAATTGCTTAACGATTCAACTGTTTAATTGACTTTCCATCAGTAAAAATCAGAAGAAAAGTGAAACAATTACATTTTTAAATCGTGCACCACTAATACGTGACTCCGCTTTCTGGGCAACATATGGAGTGAAGGGCACAAGCAGCATTAAGTACTGTAATTTACCCGGAGGGGAAGGCGACGATCACGCCTGAAGGCAGCTACTTTTGAAGGAAACATGTCAGCAAAAATACGGCACTTGGAAAGCTTTCAAAATCTTTTGTATGTTACTTTTTCTTATCTAAAACTACTTGAACGGCCCGAAATCTTGATTTAAGATACATACCGCGGTGCCGTGGATCCAACCCGATGGGAATTGCGACAGAACTCATTTTTGAGAGAAACTTTCTCTGATATATATAGAGTTTGAAAATTTACAATCATGAGCATTTGGTGTGAAGTCGAAAAGGCTGTTCCAATTCTGCCACGGATCATTCCGAGGACAGCTGATTGAAATATGGGACATCTCAAGAAATTGAAATGCACACGAACGATTCATGTTCAATTTTTGTATTTTCGCGCAGCCTTACAGGCAAAAAATGACAGGGTGACATGATCAGATCATAAAAAAAATTGTCTGGATGAATTTTTGAAAAAATTTTATATCTTCATCCAGGATAATTCTATAAATTTTCCTTCCACTGATGATTGAAAAAATTTCCATCTGTGCATCCAACTTCGACAGATGACCATCCTTTGCTGAATCATTCCGATACACATTATTGAATTTTTAAAATTTTCCCCAAGGTCTCAGTGCACCATGTGCAGCAAATAACTCGACGAGAACCTATAAAACGGATTTTAAATCATCCATGATGGTTTTCCAGTAGTTTTCAAGGTCTCAATCTCAGCGTTGAGAAAGATAAAATGGCAATTATTGAATTATTCCATGCTTGAATGAAATAAGCTTATAAAGGCGTTCCGATTGATGAATACGTCCAAAAAGCAAGGGAACTATAAATTGTTGAAGAACTATCGGTAAAATTTTGCCTTGACTTATCAGGAAATACTGTATAAGAAACCTGAGGTACGAGGAGTTTGCTTTCTGTTGACTCGCATAAAATCATTTAATGCTTTCCTTAAAATGGAATTCATTTTATTGCATTATGATGCCCTTATTCTATTCTGTTTCGAAATAAATAAAAAAGTTATGCAGAAATATATAAAAAATTTATGGATGGTGAAAAATGTTCACATCCTCTATATACCTTATGCTGTATATATCTTACTTGTCTTACGCACTGAGGATAATTGTGCAAAATTTCAATTTGTGCCGGCCCCGATCCAATTTGAAGAGATTTAAAGCGGATAAACGAACACCATCAGACCCCTTTTTTTGTTGCAAAAATATGGCAGTTTATTCCAAATTTCTCTTTTACGTACGTATACTTCAGATTCACATACAGTATTTCCACTATCCTCCTTCCGTCTCTCTCTCTCTTTCTCGGCAAGGTCGCTTTCGTCCCGAATTTCACGCCACACACTCAAACACACACGTCTTTTCGACTACGTACTTCGTATACAAAGCAAGCAAAATGTAACAGCTTCGTCTTCCGCGAACGAAAGTGGAAAAAAGCAACAACAAACTAACCACGCTTTTAAAACAAAAACAACAGCAAAAAAAACAAGTGTCCGTTCCCGGATCGTCGAAGTAAGTGAAGATAAGTGCTCCGCGCAAGTCGCAATTTTTCAGCGAACTATTTTTTCAGCAGCGGTTGGCACAAAAGAATTCATGGCACCCCGAATTCAACAGCCGTGTGCGGCACGAAGCGCGCTCCTACGGATAAATCAACAACCAACAAACACAACGAAACAAAAAACAACAGCAAATTTTTCAACAACGCAAGCCAACGTATCTCTTTGTGGCGAACAAATTTTTTTTTTCGAGAACAGCGATAGATTATGAAATGAAATGAAAAGGAATGAGCGCGAGGCTCGAACGCAATTAGCCGAAGCGAGGAAAATTAGCGGTGCCTTTTCGCAAATCGGAATGAAAGCAAGAGGCAAAATTTTTTGCTGTTTGATTTTGCTTCGCTTTTTCTTCCGACGCAGATTTTTCGGCCGCAAAACAGAAAAGAAAAAAAAAAAGGCGACAGTAAAAGTCAAGAATCAGGCTGCGGACGAACGAACATCGATTGTTCTGTTGTCTGGCCCTTTTCAATTAAAAAAAAGTATATAGCACCATGGTCAGCCCAAATCGAAATAAAATTTAAAATCGGGAAACTCTCAAGAGAATCCCGCCAACAATACAGCTTTCATGCAAAAAAAATCAACGAAAGAAAATTCAGGAACAAAAAAAAAAACTGACGCATAAATAAGCCTCGAGTGAATGTTTAGCCCGTCAAATTCGCAAGCTTATTGCACATCCAAATTGTTGCTGCCTCGAATCTTCAAGCTCAGCGTCGACTTTGACACATTACTATTTACAAATTCCATGTACCACGAAAAAATATGGTTCCTCAAACAAAAATAGATTCGGAAACCAGAGGCAGTCAGTAAAATCCTCACATTTTCTCTCTTCCCTCGATACCGTATTCACTCTAATATAAAACGACGCCATATTTTGCAAAATTTGACTCTTAAAAAGCATGGTACAGTACAGTACGTCACGTGAAGTATGGTAGCTTAGATTTACAAGAGAAGTAAGTGAATCCTTCTGGCCACCACTTTGAATAAAAATCGAGTGAGATATTCTCGTAAATAAGTCCTGATCACCACTTTAACTTCAAGTACGCAACAATTATAACCATGATTCTTGCAGTTGCTTGAGCGAGAGTAGAATCACCTGTCTTCTATGATAAATTCCGTGTAATGAAAATTTGCAGACCTTAAAACTGTAGTTTGACTTTTCTGCCAAAAAAGAATCTTCTGATGGATAAAACATCCTATATTAGATTGAATACGGTATTCACGAAGAGTAATTCGTTCCCGGCGAGAACAGAAATCGCGCAGCTCTCAGACGTGGTAAAATTTTTGTTTCATTCTTCAAACAAACAAAAAATCAGCTCAAAGAGGCTTATCACAGATCAGTTTCTCGGGGTGAAAATTTTCGAATGAAGCAAAAAAACACAACAGCAGCAGCATTGAATAACAACGGGCAAGTCGGATAACGAACAGCCAAACGGTGTCACCGGTTCGGGTCGATCTGAACTCTACCAAACAACAAAAGCTTTTCGCCATCCACAATATACGAAACCGATCCAGGCTAAAATTTTTTTTGGCGTAGATCTGAATCATAAAAGCAGATAGCTGCGACCAGCAGAATCAATCATCTATCTTTCTTTTCAAGTTTCCAGACGATGTCGCCGATCGTTTTTTTTTTTCCTTCCCCACAGAATTTTTCAAGTCCTGCGGTTACGGTAGTCTAAAATGTCAAGGTTGAATCGTCGTCTATCGTTTATCTGTCTTGAGTTTTTGCACGTGTCAGAAAAATATCAAAATTTCGCGGGAGAAAAATCACGGATGCGATTTTTGCTGCTTGATTTTACGAGAGTTATTTTTTTTTTCGTTCCTGTCAGAAAATCCCGCACGCAAAATTCGTGCTACACGATTTTTCTTCTCATGAGTGATTTGCTCTCGTTGCTATTTTTTTTTTAAGATCACGCGGTGCGAAAATTAAGCAGAATGTTTCTGATCAGTGATTTTCTCTCGTCACCTGTTTGCACAAAATGGGAAACCTTTTCGCGATTTTGCAAAAATCCTGCGGGGAGCCATGTTTTGAGAACATACTGTTCGAGGGTTCCTCCAGCTGTCGAAGAAAACAAAAAATAATGGCCGTTCCAGGTATTTTTACATGGGGTTCCCGAGGGTTCAGAGGAGCCACTCGTAAACCCACAGAAAAGTTATTTCCGTCTTCGTCGTCGGGAAATTCTCCCCTCGCAAGTTTCGTTACGTCAAAGCGTCGTGAAAGGGAGGAGGGAAAACAGAAATAAAAGTATCCCCACGTCATCGTCGTCGTCGTCGTCGTTATTCGACAGGGGTGTCGTTTAAAATGGGATAAGAACCAGGTGGGGCCCGCAATATGGGTCCGAGGGCCGGAGACTGAACGTAATACGGGTTCCCTGCGGCAGGCAAAGGAAACACGGCGTAAACCAGAGCAGGGAATACAGGAAACACGACGTGGGACACTAGTGGTGATGATGTCGTCGTGGTGGATGATGTTGACGACGATGATGATGATGGTTCCTTTTCTGGTGTTTCTGCCACTGCTGATGCTGGAGAAGACCCCAAGTCTGTTCTTTTGCTGTCACCGTCGCGACATTCGGCACGGGAAGTGTCACGGACCCAAACACAGTTGTTTTTTTCTGGGTCCCACACAAGTCCGTCTGGGCACGAGAATTCCCATAATTGATTGTCCGTGCAGCGAAAGAACTGCAAAAAATAAACGAAAAGAACGGAAGAGGTCAGCATTCATTTTCGACAGATTTTTTTTCTCGTAGGAAGGAATTCGATTTTGAAAATCCCGCACGCAAAACATCTTGTTTCCTCGCGAATTACGATTTTTTTCCCCATCGTAGAAACCTATAGATCGACGTGATCGAAATGTTGGGCAGACATGGAGACTCCTTTTTTCCAAGCATGGAAGTCTAAATATTTTCTCTTTTTCATCTTGGCAAAAACTTCTTGAATACGCCACGTTTGAGAGTTATTCAATCTGTACCACCCAAGGTTTAGTTTTTTGTGTGTTTCTGATTCATTTTTTTTGTCTAATCTCTCTTGAAATTTTGTCAGTAATTTGTGAACATCACTCAGTTCTCTTTTAATCCCAGCATTCCATTTATTATGCTTTGCTGTGCATCTCTTCTTTCCTGCGAACTTGAAATTTCCCCTGTCTCGACCTTTTAATGTCATTCGAAATTCATGGATGACTTGAACATCACCGAATCAGTTCAAATTAATTTTTTGAAGAAAGTAGAAATATTAAGAAGGTCATCAGCTCAGATATTCAAAATGGACAGGGTGGTCGGTTTTCTGGGCTTTTATACAGTAATCCATGACATACAAATTTGGAGAATGCAAATTTTATTTTCATGTCGAAAACATTCAGTCAATCCTTTGAAATGAACTATTCACTCAAATAAGTGCAATGTACTCCACTTTAGCTTGGAATAACTTGTGTAAAGAATAAAACCCGAATTTGTTCGAGGAAATCCGACGAATTTTTCAGTTCGAAGCGAAATTTTGGAATGCTGGTAGTCAGATTTCACCCTACTGAATTGTAAGCCAGTCACCAGTTGATTTAATTACACGGAATTTAGGTTTAAGATTTTATTTTTAAAATGGAAATACAGCACCGTTTTCTCTTCTTAGGTCTGGCTAATAATTGTTGGTCAGTTGCTCATGCTCATACGGGGGCTCGTAAAGATACAACCATTAATTTCTACGCGTGATCGCGTTTCGAAATCGCTTGTCACGACATCATTCGTTAACCGTTTAAGCTCGGTTCATCATATACAACCCGTACATTTTTTTTACATGTATCTGCAAGGATTCAAGAATTTTTATTACGGTTATATATATTTTACCTTAGAGCAGTTGGTAGGATGAGCGATGAACCCGTCGGAATTGCAAATAACTGGCGGTTTCTCATTCTCTGGCGCTTTTCCTTCGAAGGGTTTCTCTGCGGGGGAAGCTTCAGTTGTCGTCGGTGTTTCCTTTTTCTTTGTCGTCGTCGTCGTCGTCACTGTTGTCTTGGTCTCTTGTGTCGTTGTCGCAGTCGTTGTAGATTGAGGAGCCGACGACGAGGTTTTCACCTGTGTCGAATCTGGCCTTGATGGCTTCGGTTTTGATGCGGAGGAAATTGTTTCGATGGGATCCACTTCGGGTTTTGGCGGCCTAGCCCACTCCGGCTGAGATAAAAACGAAAAAATTAGAATTAGATTTGCACTGTGATTTCTGAAACGGACAATAACATAATAACGATAATTGAAATCAGCATTATTAATTCAACCGAAAAACAGAGGCCCCACCTTCGACAGATTTTTTTTGTGTGTGTGCCGAATTCAGATCGACGCATTAGACCCGCCAGAGATTTTAAATTCAACTAATTGGATTTGACGTCGTGTGTCTCATTTTTTCTGGGCTCGGCTTATGAATGCAATGATTATTCTTAATTTTATCAGGTTCTCTAATTTTTCGAAAATGTGCCACCGGTAGGTAAATTCCAGATACAACTGAGAGATTGAATCCAGAAATTACGGATTTTCCGTTTATGTTTCAAATAAAAATGTAAAATCAAGCTCTAAAATAGTGGACACACAAATCGTTTGTGCGAAAGGCCAACTCGTCCAGGTATTTGAACAGTTGAATAGCTGAACTGAATAACTGGTCTCATATATCACACTTGAGCAAAATCTTTCTTTGAAAGTTTAGCGGGAATATTGCGTAAATTATCGTACTTGTACGCCTCATTTCAACTCAAAAATTGTCTACTTAGATCTTTAGACTTCAAAGCACAGAGACACATGATGTGCCGATAAACTGGCTGCAGAAAATCCAGACCCGAAAATAAATATCGCAGGAGTGCATTTCGTTGCATCTGTTCATTTTATTTTGGTGAATAAAATTATTTTTGTACCTCAGCATTAAACGTCACACGCGACCAAGAAGCAATTTTCTGAATGGTTTCTTCTTCTTCTGCAAAATGTTCAACAAAAAGCGATGTTACTACCCTATAAAAAGGGAAATCCTCCTTTATAAACCCAGAAAAGCGGCGATTTCCTTACCCTGGTGTCGGGCGCAGGTGGCGGAACCGACGGCACAGAGAAATCGCGCAAATTGTCGTACAGCAACTTCATCAAGGCGTTCTTTTCCCCGCAAATCCCGTGGAAATCGTCCATGTCGATGGCCCACACCATTGCTCCAGCGTAGCCGCTTTCTTTGATGAAATCCATCTTGTATTGCAGACTTTCTTCGTCTTCGTAACCGACCCATTGGTCGCCATTGAAGGCATACGGACATTTCCCGATGTCGTCGAACTTCTTCGTCCATCCGCTTTCTTTATTCTGCACAGCCGCGCAAATCTGGCGAAGAGAACAATTTGCAAAATGAAGTTCATATTTCTCTGGCCTGCGCAAATACTTTGCCATATGATTGAAAATAGCGCCGCCTTTTTTTTCTATTTTTAGGTTAGCAAAAGAAGGAGAACGTCGTCATGTATGTGCAGGGAATGTCGGAGAAAAATCGCAGGAGACACGATAATACAGCATTTTAATTCCCCGCATGATGGTCTTACTTTAAATACATCCCACTTTTACCCTTTTTGAAAACTTTTGATATCCTTCGGTGTTTGTGTGAAGCCAGCCGGATCTTCACTTTTTATTTTATTCTGCTAGACATGCTTTCTTTCGAGGCTGAGCGACATTTTTGTACCGGTATTTAGCAGGGAATTGTCGGCACCGATTGGAGTTCTACGAACCTTTTACTCTTCCAGGAATTTCGCCCTAGATTTGCAGTACTTGGTTGCTCGGTTTATTTTGAGGCCATTTTACCAGGGAGTTGTTGGCTCGGCTTGAATATAAGGCCGATCAGAACTAAAGCCTGTGAATTTCTCAACTTTTTCATTTCTCTCAAACATTTCATCTCAAAAATTAAAGCTCAATTGATATATTTTCTAGGAGACATTCAGCCTTTTAGAAGAATAGGAAACGCCGGCAACATTTTGGGCAACCCTGTTCACATCGATGCCTGGCAGCATTTCCCGGAAATTCAGAGGTATTTCCTGAGGCAACGATCTGACAAAAAAGTGCTTTTTACATAATCTTGAATGAATTTGACGATTAAGTTTTGCAATTAGTTCTGCACCAATGTCAAAGGGTGCTATAAATGTGTCAGGCTAGCTAAAAAAAAATTGAATTTTTTGGTTCAACCATTGTATAAAACAGTGGTCTGCAACTTGTTGTCCGCGGACTGGCACCTGTCCACAGAAATTATTTTCCAGTCCATGGAAAATTTCCTTCTGCATAATAATTTTATCAAAATTAGCAATGAACTCTGTTATATTTATCTGAACTTTTTGGTACACCATGGCAGGTTAAATTTTTGTTTTTAAATATTAGCTGGCTTTTCTCCTAATAGCACTTCAGACAAATTTTCAACTGCTGAAATACATTTCATTCCTTTTTCATTCAGAGAAACTTTTCTTCAAGCCCAACTTTCAACTTTTCAAAGAAATTCAAGTGTAGCTGCATTTTTGGTTCTTGGGTTATTTAAAAAAAACTTTTTAAATACCCGCCATAACGTCTTTCAACAAATACTTTTTTGAATCTGCAAAAATGTTCTGAAAGTTTGCCAGTCGGCAGAATATTTTTTGGAAATTTGCAGGTCCGCAAAAAGTTTTATGGAACTTTGCCAGTCTGCAGGCCTAAAACGGTCGGGGAACACGGTTATAGGCTCTGTATTAATTTTTTCTTTCAAAAACACACCTACTAAAAAAAATTTATATCAGAGGTCGCGTCCAGCTGGGACAACCCTTGCATGCAGTAAGGACCCTCGATTAACAAACTGCTCAGTTGGTGCCCCGGAAAACAAAATAATCCCTCAGTTCTCAAACCAAAGTTCCTTTAGCAAACATTTTTTTTTAACAAGTCGTACCTCGTAGTAGGCCGTGAAGCCGGTAGCGTTGGTGTAGGCGCCTCGTTGGCCGCCGCCTTCCCACTTCTTGATGCCGGCGCGGAGAGCAGTGTTGTCCTTGCTGCCCAGGGTGTATGTTCGGCCGTAGAACGGCACACCCACGACGAGCTTGTCCTTCGGGCAACCCATTTCCTCCCACAACGTCATTCCATCCGCCTGCGCAATTGTAAAACAAGCAGGAATTGTTTGAAATATGTAGAACAAACAAGGGAAGGGGGAAAAAAAAGTCATTCATGTTGGCTGGATATACCTCTGCTGGACCCCATAATGCCACTTCCGAAAGAAATGAGATAACAGTAACCTCGAGACTTTGACCGTTAACTCGCGCGACTTTCTCGGCGTGGCATTATTTGGAATGTCTTCCAAACCAAGGCTTTTTTTTATGAGGGATTTTTTAAAGTCAAGTACGTGTTTCTGCAGGATCATATCTTATTATTGTACTAGCCTTCAAAAATTAGACCCGAGAAGACGCGGATTCTTCCGGGAAAGAGCGCGTCGAATGAATTCTCTCGAGTTCGTAAATAATTGGTAAACCATGAACAAGAGCAAAGTGCATCTATTAATATTGGGTGAGCGAGAAAGCGATCAACAATTTTTTCAAATACAGTATCTGCAGGAATAATTTTTTTGCTGCACACTGAATGAAAAATCCGTTCCATTATCCCACCGTGATGTTCAATTTCATGGACTTTAGTGCACGCGCGCATTTGAATAAATCCACAAGGAGAGAAAAAGCCGCCCTTCGTTTTTTTTTTCCAAGAGTTGAGGATGATTTTTATGAAGGTTTTCTCAGTTAGGCGAGGCTTTGATAGACTTGAAACCAGGAAACAATCTTGCGCGTTTTGCAGATGAATATTGCAACCAGTCGGAAAACCTTTCAGACTTGGTTAAAATTCGAGAATTTGTTCGAAAAACCAAAAATCAACTTTTTTTAAGAATTATTTTTAAAGTTGATCGATTTGAAACATAAAAATGCCTGTTCGCTGGAGAGCAACCTGGAAACTTATTTCGGCTAGTCCGAATAATTCAAGCCAAACTCGGCAATCAAAACGTTTTTGAGAAATTACTTCATTTAAATGAGATGTAAAGTAAATTGACAAGATGAACATGAATTGGCACTCCCAAAAAAAAAGCCTAAAACGTGTTTTCTGTGTCATGAACTTCCTGCGGTTCCTCGATGTATTTATTCTTTGAATTATCATTCTACGCCCAAGACCCATTCGATTCGCGTTAAAAACCCCATTAAAGGTGAACCTTTTCTATTTTTGCGTCAATAATTTTCGAGGCACGTAATTTAATAATTTTAAATCGCCGTTTCTCCGCCCAATATTGGAAAAAACCCCCACGCAGAACCGATTTGTCTAATAATTGTTTAGTTTTTTTTTTTAATCGTGCAAGAATTCGGGTTTTTTTTTCACCCGTAAAACTCGTACACGAGAACACGAATCGCCCCGTTTTTGCTCCGGAATGCGAATGATTTCTCAGGCGGTAACAGAGCCATGGAACTTCGGAACCTTTTGTGAGGGTGGTTCGTGATGTGGCAGCGAGAGGAAAAAAAAAAACATTCACAAGAAAAGGCAAAAAATAAAATGAAAATCCATCAAGGGGGGGGGGGGGAAACTCACCACGTTGAGCCTCTCGTAGGCCCACTGATCGAAAGGTCGTTTGTAAAGCGGGCTGTGAACGTCGGCGAACCCCGCCCAATTCCCACGCAAGTCGTACGTCATGGCATGTACTGCGTCGACCAACCTGCGCCAGAGGCAGAGAAGAGAAATCCATCATCCACGCATCTTACGCGAGCAAAAAGCATTCGAAAAAAAAACCCAAATGAGAAGAAACATTTCTTTCTCGATTTCTACGAGTACGTTTTTATTTTATTTTATTTTTCAAGCCTTTGGAGATGCATAATTTCGGTTTCCCGGCCCACGTTATTCTAGTACCGCTTACTCAAATTCACGGCGTTTCAATCTTTTCTGGAATCTTCATGCATCACTACCCCTAGACGTTGGCAGCCCTGAATCGCTGGTTATTGCCAGTAGAATGCATGAAACACTTGCCACATTTGGTTCACTTCTCATTCCGGGATACTGCGCTAGATTTTCGTAGGTCTGAAGCTTTGAAAAGATGTACGGAAAATTATTCTGCATGAACGTATTCTCTAAGATTCGAAGGAACCAAGGAAATGCGATTAAAGATCTTTTTTGATTCTGAATGATCCTTCCAGAAGTGAGTCTAGCAAAAGTTGGGTGCGTAGGGGTTTGCAGAAATTTTAAAAATTTCAAATTGAATCCTGGAGGGAATTTTATTTACATTCTTGTTCGAATACCAATGGTGACACTTATGGCCACCTGATTGTTCGGATTCTAACGAGAAAAACGTCTTGAAAATTGGCATTATTTGCAGAGAGGTCGTAAAAACCTTTTATACTGCTTACGATGAAGATCATTTGAAGAAGAAAAAATCAAGCTGATTGTTATGCGAGGATACCAAGAATGACACGCATTCTGGACTGTTTTTTCCTACTGCTGAACAGTATCCAACAAAAAATTGAACTGGAAGTTGAAAGAATGCTCATTCATTTTGAGTCAAATTCGTGCTTTTTTCTCTGCTCATATTCCTTACAATACACTATAATACAGAATATTTCGATATTGAAAAAGAGAAAATGTTCTTCACGTGTCAAACTTATACTCATTTTAACTAACACACATGAGAAATGTATGTTGAATGAGTGCACTTTCATTTTGAGTTCAAGCAGTATTTTTTTTTCAGAATCATTCCTATATACTGTACTTCAAATATTAAAATTGAGAGACAAAAATGTTGTTCATGCATCAAAACTGAATATTATTTTCATCTACAGTATATGAAAATTAGCTCTCGAAAAGTGTAACTCACATTTTACAATGGCATACGTTTTTTTGTTAATTTTTTATTTAAAAAAAAAATGTGGCACGTCTCTCAGTGGGCACCACTGGAACCTACGGCGCCGCCGCCTTTGCTACTCTGTTCGGTGTGGGTGTGTTTTTTTTATTTTTTTTTTTTTTTTATTTAAAAAAAAAATGTGGCACGTCTCTCAGTGGGCACCACTGGAACCTACGGCGCCGCCGCCTTTGCTACTCTGTTCGGTGTGGGTGTGTTTTTTTTTTTTTAATTGTTGTGCGTGTCTTGTTACTTCTTCTAACATGCACTTACTCGCAAAGGTCTTTGACGTGGTACCCTTCCTGGAGGCGGAACTTGGCGACAGGCACAGCCATAGTGATCTCCCAGCCTTCGCCCTCGGCGTCAAAGGCCTGTCGCAATTCATACACAAAGTGGTAGAAGTTGTCCTTGTCTTTGAATCCTCCTCCGCGGTCCGTCGCCCCCGGGTACTCCCAGTCCAAGTCGAATCCATCAAAGCCATACTCGCGCATGTACTCTGCAAATATTTAAAGAAACATTTAAAAAATTACTAAATCAAGAACCTCTTCGACGGTGGAAAGTAATTTCCAAAACGCGCTCGAAAACTCCGCGATCTTATCGGACACCAGCCATATACCGCCCGACTCGTTTCTGAAGAGAAACTGAGCGAAGAGGAATGATCCATAAGTTTTCGAGACTCGTAAAAAGAATTGTAATTAAGGATTTACTTCAAATTCTGAGCTAATTATTCAGTGTACGGTGTACAGTGCAGCATGCCTCTTTTTCAGTCAGAGAGAAAGGCATTGATGCCCAATGTGATTTATATAAATTAAAATGATTCGAATTATAGGAAAAAACAAATGCATAGGTTCAGAGAAATATTGCAGAAATTTAAAAGCACAAAAAAGTACGGAAATGTCTTGGCAGATGATTCCTAATCAGAAATGGTTTCAAGTGTCACTGAAAGTACAAATTATTATACGTATTCTTTAATTATTAGTATTATTTTAAGTATTCTCAAATTAATGGCAAAATTTGCGATTAATCATTCCTGGAATCGTGCAAGAACTTCGTGATTGAGTTTATGGAGAAACATCTTTGAAGCTGTCGGTTTAATTTCCTTTCAAAGAATTTGCTTTTTAGTTCGAGGACAGGCTCCTGAATTATAATAATAAAAATTGAGACAGAAATTGGCCATGATAAGTGCCCGAGACTCAAAATTTATGAACCATCCCTCGGATCCCCGCTGTTCAAATCGCGCCCCGGGAAATTTCGCGCACCACCGACATCCGTTACCTCGTTCCAAAATTTGCACTCCTTTCTACTATCTTCGAGAGTAAAATGTACTTTGAATGAGAAGACAAATACGTTCATTCAGCAAAGGCTTATTACTAAAATTTTTACATGTTTATATTTTTCTTATTTCAACGTCATTCAGGTCTTTTTGAGAAATGCATTTCGGATGTTCGGGAATTTCAAATTCAGCACCAGAAACGCTGCGCTCAGGATTTCTGAAGCTGAAGTGCTTTCGTCCATAAGAAAATATAGTTCATATTTGTCAGAGTATATAATGAGCCATTCGTTCACTTCAACGGAAGAGGTATAAATAGATATTCCTAATGACCGCAGAAAATACTCCAAGAATTCCATAAAGAAGCGTGGGTTCGGCCAGGATGTTATCGCAATATTAGTTTTGGAATAATTGACCTGAAGATGAAGGTGAACTGAAAGGGTCATCTGTTATCCGCGGAATAAAAGTTCAAATTTTGCGTAGGTTTTTTTTTTCAAGAAAATTTAGGAGGTGTCGAATATTATAAAATTGATCATTTCGCGTTCAATCTACCGCGTGATTTCAGAGTTCATATTATCTTAAACGATTTCCAGCGAAGTGAAAGCGCAAAAATGTTTGAAAAGGTCTTCGATTATTATTTCTAATTATGAATGGGTTTAAAGTGTCACTAAAAGTACAGCACCGAGCTGGCACTCTCAAATAAATGGCAAAAACTGCAAATAATCATTTCTGGAATTATTCGATTTTAGGATCAATAAAATTGAGGAATGCTTTCAGATCGGCGAAAATGCGTTTAAAACATATCGAGGTAGGATCAGAACATTGACGCATAGAGTATGAACTATATATAGAACGGGAAGTTGTTAATTTTTAATGGTTTCCTTGTGGAAATCAATGCACTCAAAAAAATGAATCGTTGTTTTAGGTTAAAATTTTCGAAAAATGAGACCAATTTCCGTCTATGAAGCAATCTCGAACACAGAGGAATTTGGCGTCAATTTTTTTTAAACCTCTGATCTTCGAAAATGTCTGGACGAATTTTCAAATTCACTGCATGAACTTCAGCGTCATTTTCCAGTCACGCTGCCAGAGTTTAAAATGAGCACATTTGATCGATACTTTTACAAATCAATCTCAAAATTTCGCTCCTCAAAAATCCTTCGATGAAGTTAAAGCACTAAATTCCACGAAAATCTCTCGAGATATATCCTGTTCCCTTCAAAAGGAAGACCGTCAGTGTATTATTTTATCACGAATATACCTTTTTCCATTAGAATCTTTAATAACATGGTAGTATTCCAGTGAAATCAGCAGGGATCGCTGTCCATTCAACTTTTCTTCCTTATCATTTAGTGACCAAAAGAGTGACGAAGTCCATGCACGCTTTCGGAACTACACTACAGTATTTCGTGTAAGAATCTTCAACAGTGCACCAACTCAAGTTCAGTGGCAAATACATAAGATCCTACTTAAAATCCGGGGATTTGCGAAAGACGACTTGAAATTTCACGAAACCGCCGTCGAACAAAATTGAGTAACGCGTGAGGGAGAAATAATTATATTTGAGCAGTTTTTTTTCCTTCGCGGACTGGGTAAAGCCTAAATTTGCAGCAGCATCTGAACAGAACACTGACCCATAGGTCTAAAAAAAAAAAAAAAAAAAATTGCATCACAAAACACCATCAAGCACCAAGAACCACGCGGCTCTTTTTTTCTTTCTTTCTTTG